ATTAGAATCCAGAAAAACATCGTTGTATTCAGCCCTAAAAGCTGTAATTTTTAACTTTTCTCTTAAACTATGACAGCTAGAAGGCTAGTTGATGTTTCACTAAAAATGGCTTGCAATATCAATAAATTACAAAATGTGAAATATAAAAAAAATTAATCAATTTTTTAACTGTTAAAAATGTTTAAAATTTTAGATAGATTTTTATTTAGCAACGCATATCTTTGAAATTGGAGAACGGATAATGTTTTTTAGGTTTTGATAGAACCATTTTGTCTAGGATAACTTGTATCATTGATAACTCATGTGATACAGACCTTTGAAGTTATATGACTTGATATTTTAAGCACATACATACATATTCGTAGATAAAAACTAAATATTAAGGGAAACATTAGTTTACAATTTTATGATGGATAAACACTACGAGGTTAGTTCCATAAAAGTGGCACAAAAAATTTAAAAAAAAATTTGAAACTAAGGAACCTTTATAATAACATGATAAAATATATACGTACTATCAAGAAAGTGTAACCTACATACTGATTCAAACTTGACAAGCGTTTTTTTCCAGTGAAGGTTGAAACCACTAAAGATGTAATTGTTCAAGGCTAACATTTAATAGTCAGGAACTTGCTTGTGCAAACACTTAGCGAAAAATATTTGTTCGCTTCCATCATCTTGCAATTTTCTTAGAATATTGTTTTTAACCTAAAATATTATTATATAAAGAATAAACATCTATGGGTATTGAATAAATCATTTAGAATTAACAGTTGTTTTCAATTCAACTTACTTAAAAATATGTTAATAAAACAATAAAGTTCACTTTTCTTGGGGACCATAATACTTGAGAGTTGAGATAATACTTACCTACTTGTTTAAACGTATTACTGAATTAATTAAATTTAAAAAAGTAGTCATATTAACAAAATAATAATACGAAATTCAGTAAATTATTTTAAAATTTCAAATAGGTATTACGGAAAAAGTTGATTATTTTAAGAGTATAAATGTTGGAGCRATTTGGTTATCTCCAATATTTCAATCTCCTCAAGATGATTTTGGGTATGATGTATCAAACTATAAGCAGGTCGAACCATTATTCGGTACTATGGCAGACTTTGACCGGATGCGAGATGAATTACACAAAAAAGGTACGTTTATGACTGGAGTCTTCGGTTGATGTTTTGTACAAGACGTATTTTTAACTTAATTGATTAAAAGGTATAAAAGTATTGTTGGACTTTGTGCCAAACCACACGAGTGACGAACATATGTGGTTCACAAAATCTGTACAGCGAATTGAACCTTACACAAATTATTACGTGTGGAAAGACCCAATCATCAGTGAAAATGGTACCAGAACACCTCCGAACAACTGGGTAATTAATGAAAATCTATTTGACAAAAAATTATAATGGATATAAATTGCCTAACAAAAAACCTGTAAAAATAGATAGGTACTTTATAGATAAATTTAAACGGATGACAAAATTGATAAAAATTTTATAGATGGTAAATAATTTAAGAAATAAACTTATCTTAGGAGTATCAAAAATTTGTGATAGCTTTTCAAATTAATTAACTTAAAAATAATTATGAAATTAAAAAAAAAAATTAAATAAGCAACCTAACTTAAATAAAAGTTTTTACGATCAAACTCTGTCTAAAATTAGATTTATTAATAGATTTGAATATTTCCAAAAAAATATGTCATACTTATTACACTTAATCAATTTCTATGGATTACAAAAAATTAAAAATAAATGTTTTAATGTTAATTAAAACAAAAGTTACTTCATTAGGTCTCTCCGTTAAAGGTATCTGTAATATTTTATATTAACAGTATGGTTGGTATTTTTTATTAAATCATCAATCATATTGAAAATATTGTGAATTGTTCTTTTGTGGCTATTTCAGGTGGCCGTTTTCAATACTGGGTCTGCGTGGGAGTGGAACGAACAACGCCAACAATACTATTACCATGCGTTTCAAGTAAAACAACCAGACTTGAATTACAGATGTCCGATGGTCGTGGAAGAAATCAAAGTATTGATTCTCACTTATTTACAAT